TTTATCTCAAAAATACAATGTGATAAGAAAGGAATATCCATGTTTTGACCAGGCTTAGAGTGAATATAAATCTGAGTGTTGTCTGCATAAAAATGATAATTAAGCCCAAGTGATCTTAAAAGCAGAAGCAAAAAAAGTAAGGGGTAAGTAAGAAGTAAGTATGCAGATCTTGCAGACACAATTTCAGCTCTATATTCCCCCAAGTGGTCTTTCCATGTTTAGAAAAATACATTCAATCCTGAGGCACGCCATTTTATGACAAGCTGCCTTCTTAGAGCGCAGATCATCGTTATACCAAGGAGCAGAATAAGCAAATGAGACATTGCATGACTTCAAGGGAGCAAAAGAATCCAAATTAGAGGCAAGAACAGTATTCAACTGTAAAATCTTATCTTCAAGAGGAGCTGACGGAAGACCACTTGCAAAATCCGACAGATTTATTGATTTCCATTTACGGAAATATGATCAGACAGACCTATATCAACAGAAGACAGCTGTGACAAAATTGCATCATTTGCAATCACAAGGCCTAAAGTGTGACCTTTGTTGTGTGTTAGGCCACTAGTAAACTGTGTAAGATTAAAACAGTCCAGTAAGAATAAAAGCCCCTTGTCATCTTACAGTCGTTTTGGTCAATGTGTATGTTGAAATCCCCTAAAATAAGGATTCTCTTGCATTTAAAAAACAACATGGTCAGCAAACTCAAACATAAAAGCATGTTTAAGGGATTAAAAGGGTAGGCACACTGCACATTTCATTCACACGCACGTGAAAATGCAACCTCAAGCCATGGTCACACTAGACTTTGGATACTGCAAACGGTGATTATAGACAGTCATTTCTAGCAATTTCTGGTGTTCACGTGAACATATGTGATCGAATGAATTAAAATAACCATACCTGTTATGTAATAATGCAATAATGCTTTGTGCAGGTGTTATCGTAATGTCACTCGTGTCGAAGCTGAATACTTGTTGGATAGAAACACTGATCGGGGAAACTTACTGCTGCGGCCGGGTCATGATGGGACGTCTTTTGCCCTCACTACACGCCAAGATATTAACGGGTAAAACACACGCTCTCATCTGTAATCAGTACAGCACCATGTTGAATGCTGGGTAGACCGCTTGCACATGCATTATCAGAAATGGCTGGTTGCCCTGAAGAACTTAATTTATTGTAATTTATCTTGATCATCTGAATTGAAACTTAGACCTTGATCCTTTAAATAAAGCATATTACACAATAGTCGGCGTGTTCTGGGAAGTTAAGCTTTAATAAAACTGAATATAGCTGTATTAGTTAAGAATGAATAAATCCTGAAGACTCTTGTCTTGTGCCCAGCAGACCAGTATTCAAACATTATCGTGTGTCTCGGAGTCATGGAGGAGGATTCGCCATTGCCGTTGAGACTCCTGTAAGTAATAGTTTGCGTTCTTTGATTTTCAAATTACTTAAAGGGGTCATATGATGCTATTTTAAAGATTATTATTTAGAATATGTTGACATGCTTTAATGTTCAAAAAACACATTATTTT